AGAACCTGAGGCCGATCTAGAGGCATATGTCCTTGAAGCGAGGCGCGCAGAGTTGCGCGAAGAACTTGGGCTTCTTGAGACTGCGCCCCTAGAAGAACTTTGCACTATACCGAGACCATGATTTCAGACCAGTCGGTCATAACCACCGGCGCTGACGACGACCCAGGTGCCCGACATCGCGGAGACGCGCATTATTACGTGGAGGGTGTATACTACGTCCCAAGTGTCCCGCATTGCGGTGGCGACTATACGATCGACAGTGACAACCATGGCCAATACATGCGGCTATGTTTCATGGCTGACAGTGCCAGGGTAGTGCTTATTGAACAGCAGCGCTGCTTATTGTGCGACGATAACATCTCGACTATGCGGATACACGTCCCTGCTGATTCTAAACGCGCGGTGGCGGTGAAAGAAGACGACCTGTTAACCAAAGCTGAGATCCATGCGCATCTGGCACATGGAGGCAAGGTGTTCTATCATGAGCTCAAGATTTGGCGCGGCAGCAAGTGCAGTAATGTGGCTTCCTTCAATGAAGGCTCAAACGTCGCGACCTCCCGCTGCGTTGAGAAAATTTGCCCAGAACGAAAAAAGGAAATTGTCGAGACGATTAGCCTCCGATTGCTTGTTCGTGGATTCATGGATCAGGAGGCACTCGGCGTCGAAACCTTCTTCAGGAACGGCGCGATGGGCTAGCCAGCGTTTGCTGGCGAGTGATGGGGCGAGCCAGCGTTTGCGGGCGAGTGATGGGGGCTTGCCGTCCTGTAGGTCAATGCGTCTATGGATAGAGACAAGGCTTTTACTACAGGGCCTCGCGCGCCGCGAGCTTGCCGAAGTTGTTGGAGAGCGGGAAGGCACTGTGAGCATCGCCCTGCCACCGGGCTCTGCCTCTGCACTTCGGACCTTGCCCGGATTCGAGAAGCGCGATGAGAGCGAGCATTGCCTGCGGTGCTCTGAACCGGGCGCGGGGGCGAAGGACGTCCCTCGCGCCTTCTCCTCGAAATGGCGCAACATCACGCGCGGCGCCGGGCTGCGAGCTACGTCCTGCGACGCTCGAGATTGCGGAGGCACTGCTGACGGGCAAACAAGTAGACAATTTTAAGCATGATTGGTCAGGTTGAAACGATGGATCGCCGCGTTAAATGCGTTGGTCACGCGTTTGGCGCGCGCTAGCTCAACGCAAACACTTGCGCTGACTGTGCCGCTAGATATGCGGAAGTCGATAGAAAAAGGCGACGTTGCTTTGGATCAGGACGAGCATGTTGAACAATTTCGCCCCGTCCAACGCCCAGAACAAACGGGTGCGGAGGCCGAGGGGGAGGCGGCCAACATTGTCGCGTATATGTTTGCAAGCCTCTACTGGACACTAGAAGATGCCTTCGTCGCCTAAGTTTGGCTGGTGGTCTATGTCGTCTCACTGGAACGGGCGCAGGAACCGACGAATCTACGGGCGTGACGGCTCAGCGCGATGGCGCGCAAGTTTCAAGCGCAACTTCATAAGATAGCATGCCCTGCCATGACCCCCCGGAGAGCGCGATCGTCGTAGCGACTCAGGCTGCCGACGGTTGACCGGAGATGCCGAAGTCTAGGCCAGACTGTAGGGCACCAGAGGTGCCGGCCATCTCCGGCATGGAGGCGCGCGCGATGGCAAATCTGTCGTGTATCTGATAGACGCTTATTGCAAGACGCATCTGCTGCAGGTTCGGTCGAGCAGCTCTGCGGGAACGCTGGCAGCAGACCGCAACTTAGGAGACTGCTACCCGACCGCTGTCGCGCTGCACGAACTCCGGGCGGGGCCGCCACTGCCGACACAATACAATCGGATGTGGGAAATTGGCGGTCTATGCATTGAGGTTACCTTTGCCAGTCATGCTGAGTCTGTATTCGACCCCCTATCTAGCAAGGATCTTAAGAAACCTTATGAGCGTGCACTTCTGGGCCATATTAGCTGGAGTAGACCGATGATGGATGCGGCGTTATACGCAGCATGCAATGCTGTGACACGCGGGGTATCAAGAGTGCTGATGGACATGCGTAAGGCCGAACGCGACCTTCGTTGCAGGTGATGGCGGGTGCGCCATCCTTCAAGCGCGAGCTGGCGACGTGCGCGCCCTAGAGGGCTCAGACATGAAAGAATGAGCCTGGCCCTCAGTGGGCCGGCTGACTACCAATTCTCTGCGTGGGGGCGCGCTGAAGTGGATGGGCCTTATTTTGCCGCCTCTGTCCTTCTCTGTGCTCTGTGCTTGTGTGTTCGCGGCGTGGGCTCACTCCGAACGTGTTCTGTGCGTGGGCGCGCGCCACCTCCAGTCTGCTACGCATTAACTTTGCAGACTCGAATTTGGCACCTGGCCAAGTCGGGCGCGGCTTGCCGTGGCAGCTACTTCTGTTGCGCGTGAGCCCTACCGCTTCAAATCAGTTCGGAGTTAGGATGATCTTGATTAAGCTGTGCGCGCGCAGTTCCGCTAAATCTAGCTTGGCGCTCGCCGCCGCTCCCCCCCCCCCCCCCCCCCCTCGACTCTGAATGTAATTCAGAGGACTGGGCAGTATGTGAAGCGAGCGTAGCGAGCGTCCGCGCTGCCGTTTGACTTTCAAGCGGCCGGCGCCCAACTCGCCCAGATCGTTAGCGCCGCTACCGATCCGCTATCGCATTAGGAACGATCCCTTTAAAAATTGCCGTGGGAAAGGGGACAAGAGGAAACGATGCGGGAGGGGTCTTCCTTTTCGCGAGGCAGAGTGTGTGGTGATCTCGTGGTCTTGGAATCCCAAAGCGCGCGCAAAGGACCGGTCGGGCTTCCTTGTGTCCTTCGTTGCCGCCTGGGCGGGTAGCGCGCGCATTCGGTTTGTTGTCGGGCTTTTGCTTTTGATGTCAGCGTTTGGCTGACACATTATTTGCTCTTCGGGCTTCTTCCGCATTTCGGCCCTTCCCTTCCTATGGGTTCGGTTGCAGTCGGCTAGGACTTGGCCCTCATCCGTTTCTGTCCGTCTCCATCTCCGTGTGTGTGTGTGTGTGTGTGTGTCTCTCCCTCTCTCTATTTCTCCTTTTCCTCCCTCCGATCCCTTTTGAGAAGCCCTTCCCCCTCTGCTCTCGCCGCCCCTCTTGCCCCCCCACCCTTCGCCCCCCTCGCCCCCCTTCCCATCGCCCCCCTCTGCCCTCGAAAAGGTCCCACCCTTCGCCCCGCCCTTTTGCGCGCGCCGCCAGCAAAAAGGGTTTCGCGCCAGGTTTCCGCGCCGATCCGAAACACACCTGTCGATTCAGTCCGATCTGACCCCCCGACGCGGTGCCGACGACTCTGTGCCACAGCTGGCGCTTCCCTTGCAATGCGAGCCGATTGGTCCGCGCGGTGTCTCTAGGAACCAGGGTTGGCCGGGCGAGCGGGGGTTTTCGAGCGTCTTCTTGCTTTGTCTCAGGCTCTCAGCGGTGTCCCAGCCTCGCGATGATCTCCAGCAGCTGCGCCTCGTCGAGGGCTTTCCGTGGGGTGCCGGAGTCGTTCCAAACGGCCTCTCGTGAGAGTTGAGTGTTGGCACCAAGATTCAAGGGACAAGGTAAGGGGGCGATCGGCTCATGAGGGAATGCATTGGGCCGCCGATGGAGGCCTGACAGCCCACCCCGCCCAGGAAGGTGCGGATTCGCCGATGTATCGCCGATTCCACGTCGATGTTTGCCCCCCTGGTCCAGTCCCCCCCGAACGTTCCGCCTCTGGTGGGGGGTGCGAGATCTGCTGCACGCAGCTGGCTTCGGCCCCGTCGCCAGGCCTTTCTCCTCGAGACGCCACCGCGTCCTGCACCGGCATGCGAACTTTCGGCCAGCCACGGAAGGCGGTTCGCCGACCCTCCCCACCGTTGGCTATGCCCTCTCTTTGTCCGCGCCGGGGGCCCCTCGGGGCGGACTGCACCTGCACCCCACGGAGGCACTGCACCCCTCGGAGGAGTGCTTCAAGGCTTCTGTTTGATTGGAGGGGCCTCGGTGCCTGCGGCGTGCGGCCCTCGGGGCTCCTGGGGGGAGATACTTTCTGAGCTCTTGGAGGAGGCCTCGAGCGCCCGAAGGCCTCGAGCTCTCGGAGCAGGCCCTCTTGGAGGGGGCCTTTTTCGGGGCAGGCCACCTGGGGGACGGCTCTCAAAGGCCCCCTCTGGGGAGAGAGAGAGGCCTCAGAGCGTCCGAGTCCTGGCCGGGGGCCCTGCGCCGTCGAGGCTGCTCGGAGCTTCGCACTGCGCCCGAGTCCGCGCCTCCGGGGCCTCCGCCGGCCGCCTCCGCTTTCGCCAGGGCCCTCCTCGAAGTCGGCGCGCGAGCTCGGGCGACGGTGCCCCCCTTCGGCGGCGCGCTTAAGGGGGGCAGGCAGAGGTGGCAGGCCTTGTCGAAAAGGGGGCTCGGAAGGTCTCCGGCCCTCTGAGTGAGAAGCTTTCTGAGCCGTCTCCGAGGCCACAGGGGACTTCCCAGAAGGCCAGAATCACCACCCACCAAGCCACCCCAACCCAACCCGAAGGCCTCAATTTGCCTTCTATTTCCAGTTGGGGGGGTGGGGGAACATTGACAAAAGCAAACCTGAAGCCCGTACCCCCCCCCCAACCCGAAAGTCGGGTCTTCGGGTTGGGTTGGGGTGGTCTGGTAGGTTTCACAGAAGGCTTCCGAGAAACCCCACGGCCTTCTGATAGGGCCTGCCCCCTTCTCACTTCCCCCGTCGGCACGCCACCGTCTCCTGAAGCGTGGGCGGCCCTCCAAAACCTGCCGACGACGACGCCGGTGGCGGCGGCGGCCGCAGCCGTGGCCGCGGCCACAACCACGACGACGACGAGGAGCTCAGCCACGCGCAGAAAGGGGTGGGGGGAGGGGGGGAGGGCTTCTCAGAGACCCCCTGCTTCTTAGAAGGCGCTGGTCTTATCTATAGATGTGAGGCCGGCGCCTTCTACGAAGCAGCCTCCTTCTAAGAAGCCCTCCCCCCTTCCTCCCCCCCCTTGTGCGCGCCGCCAAGGAGCGCACCCCCGGGCTCCCTGCCCCCCTTCAGTCATGGTGTTCATCGTGGCCGCCCTCCTCGCGGTCTTCGTGCTGCAGAAGCGCCGGGACAGGCGCGGGTCCAGAGGTCTGGCAGCATGTTTTTTCGTACACGTTTGGTTTTGTTTTGTTGCTCCCATTGGCCTCGGCCTCTAGGGGCCCGTTGTCGGGCCCTTGGGTCAGACCCTCTGGTGCCGTGCATTTGGAGAAATCGCATCGTCGGATGTTTGGGGTGTTCGTGCTTGGAGTGGAGGCGTGAGGTATTGGGGAGGGGGGAGGAGATGCGGGTGTGATCAGAAACACTTCCTTCCCTCCTTCCGCCCGTCTTCCGCCTCGCTTCCGCTCGCTCGTGTATGTTGCTGTTGCGGTTGCTTGCCCCTCGTTTGATCTCACGCCGCCATATCGGTACAATGGTTAGGCCCTTGGCGTCATAACTACGCATTCGTTTGCTGCGAGTTGGAAGATCTATCGCTCCGCGCGCGTCCTCATCATAGTCGTAGCTTGGAGCGCGCAGCCCTGGCCATCACGTGCTGCTTCCGGTCGTCCAGCGGACGACGTACTCCATACTCAAGACGACGGCTTCGCCCTCGTCAAGTATGGAGTCCTTCGTCAAGTACGGAGTCGACGCCCAGAGGCGTCCTGGTGCTAACCGCGGCCTTTATATCCATCGTCGCCAGCGACGACTCCTACGCCTACTTCGCGGTCGCCAGCGACGACCCCTATGCTTATTCCGCGGGCGTTCCGTGGACGCATGCGACGCCCAACTCGACTCTTTCAATTTCACGTACTCCCTGACCTTCATCGAAGCCGCCGAGTTCAATTTCACATATTCTCTGAACTTCAGCGGAACCGCCGATATCAATTTCACACATTTTCGGAACTTTAGTGAAGCCGCCGAGTTCAGTTTCACATGCTCCCTCGACTTCAACGAAGCCACCGAGTTCGATCTCCCGTGCTCCATGTACTACAGCGAAACCGCCGCAGTTAATTTCAGATCCTCCCCGAATATCAGCGAAGCCGCCAAATTCGATTTCCCCACCTTCCTGAATTGTAGCAACACTCGCAAACCCAAGTTTACAGGCCTCACAGCCCACGTGCGCCTCTACGTCGGCATCATGACGGATAACCGCAACCAACGCTACAACCATATCGTCATTCCGACTTGGAGCGGTGATCCATCCAAGCGGAGAGGCTGCGAACAGGAGGTGCAGTTGTGGAAGGTCAGCCAGAATCTGGAGGCAATGCAGAGTCTAGCGTCCAAGCTCGCGCTGAAGCTCACTGGCGCAGCGAGGTCCGCAGCGCTCAACATGACAGAGGAGGAGCTGCGCCCCCCGCCCCGCGACGATATCGAGGGCGCGGGCGAGCAGAAGAGGGGTCGCAATCAAGTGGGGGTCGACAGTGTGCTCAAGCACCTCGAGCAGAGTTCGGGCGCGCAGAAGTCAGTCCAGAAAGGCGAGAGTCTCGAGAAGTTCTTCGGGTCGATTCAACATCGTTGTCGACGCGGCGAGAGTGGCCGACTGGCTCGCCCGCTTCGAAACCGATCTTCAGCAGTTGCGCGAGAACGAGGTGGACCTCGACGCGCTCGACGACGTGGCCGTGTGGTTCCTATTCAAGAAGGCTGGGCTCTTGGCGGAGCGACGCGGGCCAGTGGTTGGGGGCCTGCCTGACGAGCGCCGCGGGTTCTAGCGCGTTCGTGGGCTGCCGGTTCGGACTTTCCCGGACATCCACGCGCCCGAGCGCCATCGCGGCCGCGGCGACATCGGTCGCGCGGCCGAGGTGGCGGCTGGTAGAGGCCTTCTGCATGCAGGAGGGCCCGCTCCACCGACGTCGGCGACGAGCTGGTGGGCGGCGACGAGGGCCGCGACGAGGGGGGCGATGGCGAGGCCGAGGCAGGCGCGCAAGACATGGCCCGCCAGGAGCTCGAGGCCTTCACCGCCGAGCTCGAGTCCGCCAACATCGCCATCTCCAAGGTTCTCTGACGACGACGACGACGACTCAGCCGAAGTCGCGCGTGCCGCGGCGAATCCTGCCGATTCCCGAGGCCGCGGCGACCGCCTGGTCGGCCAGGGAGGCCTTCGAGGGCCGCGGCAGGGCAGCTCCCAAGGCTGGGGGCCATCGCCGCCCTGCCGAGCTCCAGGGCCGCGTCGGCCAGCGTAAGAAGACGACGTCGAATTGCTGGGGCTGCGGCGAGCTGGGGCGCCGGTCGGGCGACGCGGGGCGCCCCGCGCCCGGCGTTCGTAAGTTCGGGCCCGGGGGTGAGACCGAGGGTGGAGGTCGTGGAGGCCGCGGCGGCCCCCGCCGGCGCCAGGCGCGCGTCGCCGAGCAGATCGAGTTCGCAGACGACGAAGCTCCGCTGCGTCCGAAGGGGCGGGTGGCGCCGCCAGCGACGTGCGTCTCAGATCGGGTGGCCCACTAATTGGCGAGCGTCAAAGTGTCGGCCAACGGCGAGAAGCCGTTGGCCCAGGGCGTCGGCGTCGCGGGCGCCGCCTGTCTCTGTTGCGTTTCAGGTGCGAAGTGGTATAAGAACAATGGGGGCATGCTCGCCGAGCTGGAGGGCGAGGTCCATCGGCTCGGCAGCGACGGCGCGCCCCCGAGCAGGCCGCGCGCGACCGCGCCGCTGGTGCTCTGCGGCCGCGCTGGGGAGGTCGCGTTCAGCGTCGCGGGCAGCCCCGCTCTCGTTCCCTTCGTCGGGCGGGCCTTGATCTGCCCCGTCCAAGATGGGCGTCTCCCTCTGGAAAGGCCAGGTCCGCGTCGGGAATCGCGCCGAGAAGGTCAGTGCGAGCGGTGCGGGGCAGCCCGGGATTGGGCCCCAGCCAGAGGGCCGGGCGGCGACCGGGGGCGCCGGCTCCGTGATTTCCGAGGGGCCGATCGCCAGTCGGATCTTGCACGCTAAGGCGAACGTCGCGCCGGCCGTCGACGACGCGGCCCGGGCCGAAGTCGCCGGGCGAGCCCATCGCCGAGCTCATCGCCCAGAAAGGGCCGGGCGCCCCCGGGCGCCTGCGTACTCGCCGAGAGAATGGGTCGAGACTCGCGGCGGCTGGGGCGTCGGTGCTTGCGCGCTGCTCTGCGTCAGCGCCTGCGCAGGGACCCGCGATGGCGACGCGGCCCTCGCCGTCCTATTGCGCGGCGCGCGTTGCCGAGCCACGGCGGGGCTGCGTCTCCTGCGGCGCAAGTTTCTGCGAGTCCTGCAGCCGCCCGGGATTTCGCTGGGAGTGCGTGTTCTGCGCGCCCGCGACGCTAGACAACGACGCCGAGGAAGGCGACCCGCGGGGGGCATGCATCGCGGGGGAGGAGCAGGCGCGAGCGAGGTGCCTGAGGATGGGGGCGAAGCCGCCGCTCATCGCGAGCGAGCGCGCAGCCTTCGTCACCGGCAAGATCGGCTTGCAGCCGCGACGGGCCAGCCAGGCCTTTCGCGCCGATCTGGCCAGCTCTTCCACGAAGTCCTGTTCGATTTCAAACATGAATGGCGCCATGCTTCTCGGATGGTGTTGCAATCCAGACAGCAAGCTCAGTTCGGTTTTGACAGGGGGGGGGGTCAAGCGTGGTCTTCCTGGATCCGACTTATCGCGAGAGGTTTTGGCCAAAAAGCTAGGGGGCAAGGTCAGGGTGGCGCCAGCTCGTGGCCAAAAGCGTCCAAGTCCGCGCAGCATTCCCATGCCATCCGAAGGCCCCCCTCTAGCGCCTCCTCGCTGAGATCGACCCGGGGGAGGTCCCGCAGCTGAGGTGGGGCAGAGCCAAGTCCAAACGGATGACCAGCTTGTTCTCGCAGGCCAAGAGGTCGTAACCAACGCCAATTTCGGCGCTGTGCCTCCACCGAGGGGGGGGTCCCGATCTCGGTGATGGTTGTAGAACTGCGGCTTCCAATGTGGCCGAAATATCACCACCGACGCCGGAATCTAGGGCCATCTCCCCCCTGTGGAGGCCCCCCCATGCTTTGGTGTCGGTGCCCGTGCCCGGGCCTCCAATGTTCCTGCAGTCAAGGCCCTGGCCGCGTAGCGAGAGGCGCGCGGCTGGCCGCCCCCTTCGAGTGGCCGCGGCAACGCGACGGACAGGGCCCCGTCGGGAGCGCGACCGCGGAAAAGCTGACGGAGATGGGGATCCACATCGAGAAGCCGCGGGGGATCATCGCCAGTCCTTGCGGGGTGATTCGCCGAGGAGTTTCGGCGACGGCTCGCGCCTTCGCGCCGAGGCTCGCGGCCGAGGCGCGAGGAACAGCGAAGGCCCCGCCGACGTGCTCATGGAGATCTTAGCTGCCCAGCTACTGCGACGGAACAATGGGCTCCAATTATGAGGGCCGCGAGAAGAACGGTGCCTGCGCCGCCCGCTCCTCGAGAGCCAGCGCTGACAGCTGCGGTGCAGCGGGCGCCCCGGTCCGCCGCGATGCACCTCCGCGCGAACGCGGGGCGCCCGCCCGACGTTTCGCTTGCCCGGGCCACCCGCGTGACAGGCTGTTCTCGGAGAGCAGTCGAGATGGCGTTCAATCTGCGTTGCGAAGTTACCGCCGCGCATCGCCGACCACTGCCCTCCGCCGTGCCTGCTAGGGATAATCGGGTTGGATCGCAACTTCAAAGACTCTGCCGGGGTGGGCCTTAATCTGGCCGGCTACGCGGGCATCCAGGTGATCTTCTTGAACGTGGTCGGTCTGGCTTCGTGCTTCACCGTGTGCGGCGCAGTGGGTCCAGGTGCCCATCAGTTGTTTTCGCGCGACGACATCAGATTCGGATCGCGCCATTCGGCGCGCCTCAGCGGGTCTTATTTTGACGGGGGAGGCGATGTCGAGCGAGGGTTCTCCAAGGCGCCCGAGGATGGGCTGCCGCCGCGCGGCGATTGCCGCTGCTGCGCCGCAGCAGGGCGCCGCCGCGGAGAGACATAGGGGCGCGTGGAAGGTCCACGCGAGGGAGCTGATCGACGAGTTCAGCAGCGGGCTCGACGAGACCAGCGCCGCCCGCGAGATCCAGCGGCTGCTCGCAGCAGCGTGCTGGGCCATGAATTCTAGGCCAGTGCCGTTGCTGGATATTCCCCCCGTCGCAGTGGGTGCAATGGCGAGGCCGTCAGTTGCGCGATTGCTTGCTGG